ATTATTCATGATTATTTATAACATGAGATTTTGAAGCGATTTTTTTCCTGTTTGCTGCCAAAGATTTTGAACAGGGACACCAACTTATTTCGGTGTGTCGTAAACTCTGTTCAGCAGTGTTGATTTCCAAAAGACATGGTCAACGTTTTAAGCCAAACATATTAGGATAAATTTTATAAATTTCTCCTTAATTTTATCACTTGCATCATCTTATCCTTTAAATTTTAAAATTTTATTGTCCCCCAGAAATTATGACATGTCTTTGACTTTTTCTTTTCTGTTGATTATATCATAAATCATATATACACTATGATATTTAGGGTTTATTAATTGCATTTCCCTCCAACATAAAACAGTCATGTTACAGTACTCATATATACACGTAAAGGCAGTCGTGACATGGCACACAATCATCACACACATTTCTTTTTATTTGTTTCTTTATTCGTTTATTGTTTGCTCAGTGAGAATTATTCATCCGGGAGAAGAAAATAATATTTTGTGTTGCAGTTGCATTGGTCAACAGTTACTTTGCATGCATGAAAAGCACACGTGTTCTTTGCAGACGACCTAGTTTAAAGAGTTGAAAAGAAAACTGCCTTCGAGCCGGAGGAAGTTTGTTTCTGGTATAATCTTCACAAATACTATCTTAAAAATATATAAATTAAGATTTTTATTTTTTAATTTATAACTTTTTTTGTTAAATAATTATACTAATAAAATAATATTTATCAAAAATAAAAAGTAAAAATCTAGATTCATACACTCTTAAAATTAATATCTCCATTTTTTATCTTATTTTTCTCTATATTTAACTGTGGGCTTCCTTCAAAACGAAAGTTCATTTTAGTTTCCAAAGTTAATTAATAGAATTATTATCACTGATGCCCACTAAATTTTAAGGTTATTCTCAATTATTTTTTAAACTTTGAAAACTCTCATTTTACTCTTTAAATTTTAAATTGTTTCTACTTAACCCCTTCTACTATAATTTCTGTTAAAAACAGATAAAAAAAAGAGAATAACGCAGTCACATGATATTTCTGTTAAAATAAATAAATAAAAACCACATGACCACACTTAATCCTCTCATTTTCTGTCTAATTTTAACAGAAATTATAACAAAAAAGAGTTAAATGAGAATAATTAAAAATTTATGAAGCAAAGTGAAAATTTTTAAAGTTTAAAGAGAAAACTAAAAATGACCTCAAAATTTAGAAACATCAGTAAGAATAATCCTAATTAATATATCGATTCGCTCTGTTTTTAGTTAATTATTATTAATTACTTTTTACGCTCTTAGGAAGAAATTTGTTGGGTTTTATATATGTTTGTCTTCGGGACAATGTCATCATCTAATTCTTATTGCTCAGTTGTTTTTTGATAAGATGGGTTGTTAAATATTTGTAACTTGACGTTGTAATGTTATAACAATACCTAATTCAGCAATTTCTTACTTCCATTACCAGAAATAATATTGCTCTGACGTACGTGTGGATCTATGTGCTTAAGGGGCTTTGGTAATCCGAAAAATAGTCTCCTTAAATTTTTACTTTGAATATCCTTGGTGTTTTTGCTGAATATTGAATATCCTTGGTCTTTAAAACCTCTTAAAATTGACTCCGATCTATTTTTGTGAGTCAACAATAGTTCCGTTACATCTTCATTCAAAATGGGACGGACTAGATCGCTCATGAAACATTTTAAGTGAAGATAAGATGCACATCTTTGTGGCTTTCAGGGGAGATTAATATTGATTGAAGAAAGGTATACTATTTTGCTACTGATATATTTCTATTGGTGCGAGTGTTAAGATCGTTTTTCATTATAAAAATAAGGTATTTTGTACATATTTATCCTCTGAACTTGTATATATGATTTTAACAACGAACTTCTAATATTGATAATTTACTCTTTTAATTTGTAAAAATATTGTATTCTGTCGCGCTTGATAATGATTATATTAAGTTAGTGACGAAAAAGAAAATTCAATGAATAATTTCAATGTCGACCTCATTAAAACTGCAATAGAAATCTTTTAATTTTCCAACTCTCTTCTCATTAAATTAGTAAAAAGAGGCTCACTGTAATAATTTTACATATTGAGAGATAAATTATCAAAATTAAAAAATTTAAAAGGTACGTTGCTAAAAACCCTATGAATATAGGAGGCAAACGTACAATATACCTTAAATATGTGTGTTTTAACGTTTGATAGGACCTAAAGACATTTAAACCACTTCAATAATTTTAAGTGTTAAATGGTTACGAGTCAGGTGGTGACTTTCATCACCGTTAACATAGAGTCGATAAAAGGACTACTTTTAACATAACAACATGGATCAGAATCATTTTAAGATGTCCTTAGGAAAAGGAAAAAAAAAAACTTTTTAAGATGTTTTAAAAGTCAATAACATAATTGAATTGGGAAAATGAGACAAATGACTTTAAAACTACATAAGCTAAAGTTTTTATCTCTTACTCTTGATTAAAACCTTTTTACTCAAATAACTGCACTAGAAAAAGATATTAATCAAGAATAAAGAGAAAATTTAGACTTATGTACTCTTAACGATAAATTATGTAATTTGCTCAATTGAATTTGGTGTAAAATTTGGGGTCCTTAACCAAATTGAATTTACAAGCTGTATATTAATGGGCTGAGGAAACTGCGAGATGGATATATATGATTCATGAAAAAGTAGACAATTTATCTTTGAGAGTACATGTGTCTGGATATTTATTTCTTACTCTTGATAAATATTCTTTTGTTAATGTAATTATTTAACTAGAAAGGTTATGAATTAAAAATAAATGGTAAAAATTCAAACCCGTACACTTTCAATTCGTTGGTTATGGTGGCAAGGGCTAGTCTTGCAACTGAATTGCCAACTCATTGCTAATGAATATAAAGTTCTTTCTTTTTTGCTGAGATAAATTCAAGCTTGCCCATTTGATTCCCAATAAAAGCTGCCTCCTGGTAGCTGTATACGAAATACGTATAACTTCTAAGGTATAAGAATTTTAGGTATGTGTACTAAACCGTAACAAGATACCATAGGATAGTCATGATTGTGGAATATAAGATCATAGATGATACCAAACTATTGCCAACCAAGCCCGATAAAATTATGCTTATCTAGGCCTCAGGTTTGCGCACGATTAACTATTTCTCTTTTCTGTTTTGAACATTAATTGTGCCCCCTTATGTTTATAGAACACACGTACGTTAATTACTTGTTTAATTACTAATGTTTCCTGATCCTTGTACTGCAAGACTATTTAAAAATCCGTCACAAAAAAAAGGGACCAAGGTTTAAAAAAAGGATTTTTTTATTTTATTTTTGGAACCATTTATAGTCAAAAGATTCTTGGGAGAGCTGCGATTTATAATAGCTTCTTCTTTCTATGGCTCATTTAGGATTCAATCTACTGACGAGGTTTAAAATCAGCAGAGGCTGCAGCTGCTACTGCTGCTTGACCACCCACACATGTCGAGAGTCATAAATCCGACGGCAGAGAGATTTTCTGCTTGTTCAAAGTACTAAACATGCACGACACCGAGAGTCATGGTGTAGTGGTAAGGATGCCTTTATTAGGTCTCCTCTACCCATCCATTTATGATTCAAATTTCCATTCCCGCCCGCACAAAAGGTTGCCTAACCCTTTTAGAATAAATTAAGTGGCCCCTGTGAGCCACACCATAGGTGGGTGGATTGAAAATTGGGTGGATAGTTAGTGAGACTAGTTCATGCCCTTTTCACATATTCCATACTACCCGAAATTGTTGCTATAACTGAAGGAGGTAGGACACATGAAGTGCACCATCAGATCTTTTTTTTGTTTTTTTTGCTTTAGAAAAAAAGTACTAATTAACATGCACATATAGTTTTAATGATACGTTACCTCATTTCAGTTTACTAGCAACGAAGAAAGCGTACCTCTTTTCTAAGAAAGTGACTTTTAAGACGACATTCAAAATACATATTGTCAAAAATTTAAACGTTTGACAACACCCCTTTTATACCTCTCTACCTAAGCATATGTCATGAGACATTTTAGATGTCGTCAAATGTGTTTTTTGTTGTGGCACTCGCCTTTTTTTTTTTTTTTTGGGTAAGTACTTACCAATTTTGTTTGTATGAATGTTAACTCATTTACATTTTTACTCTTTTAAGCACTTGATCTTTACAAATACGAGCAAGGATTTGAAAAGGCTAGAACAGATAAGTAAATTTGAAATTAAGTCCCCTTAAGAGGGTAATCAATTCTAAAAGGATATAAAAATTGACATTTTTTTTTCTCGTCTCTTATATTGTGAGATCTACTATCTCTCATTATTAATTTTATAACTAAACACGTATTATTAGATTGAAAAGTGAATCTTAACTTTCTCTTCCTTTTCATGTGAACTAATTGTACACTTTTGTTATGTTGGATTTTTTACACGATTGCTGAAAACCGTGCATGTACAAACGAACACACCCGCACGCACATATATACTGAATACCGAATGCCGAATAGTAGCCGTATGTCCTCATACGACTCTAGATTTGCATTAACAAAACACACACACACATATAGGAGTCACTTGTTAAACTTAAAATCTTATTTCTCGTCCAAGGTATTCATGAACAAAGTAAATAACACAAGAATAGAAATATTTGAAAGCAAAAAGCAAGCTGATGAACAATAAAGTAATGTTTGGTATATGAATTCTCCTACAGTATAAATTCATAATTTTAATTTTGTTACAGTATTTTTTTCTTTTAAAAATTTAAATTTTAAAAGTCATAATAAAAAATCTTGAATTGAACTTATATAAAATGGCCCTAAATAAGCTTTGATATTGTTGGAAATGTGGGATCAGCTAGCTGGCAGCTGCTACCAATCCAAAGATCTGGATGAGTCAAAATCAGGCGAAGGGTTGTTATGCAAGACATTAGTGTCGTGGGACCTTAGAAACACAATTAAACAAGCGAAAGCTAAACATCTTCCACGTCGAATCAAGATTAAGACCCAAACTGACACGTCTCAATAAAATCCCGTACACAGGATGTCATGTACAAGCTGGCTGCTCTATGACTCTTCAGCCCGTCAAAAGGCCAATGTGTATTTTCTTCATTCAATTCAAAACTTACGTTATTAATATTATTATTTACTGAGCAGTGAGCACCCAAAAAAGAAAAAGAAAAGAAGTATCAAAGAAAGAGCGTTGACCATAATCAATTTATCCATCCATCAATCGCTCATTCATATTCATATGATCCCATTTTGCAAAGCGTCAAAAATAGCGCTTGAAACCCACAAGTAGTTGCTCGTTGCGCGTAAGCCATGCATGAGCCACGCACTTCCCAAACTGGCCACCCCACTCGCATCGTGGCTCTCTCTCCTTATTCCACGTGGCCACAAACTCCCCTTCTCTCTCTTTTTCTCTCTCTCTCTCACCAGATCCCATTTTCCACTTCTTCCCACTATATTAACCCAACAATTCTAATATTTTTTTCCTCCATAAATATCCATCCATCAACATCAAAAGAACCAAACCATGAAGACCAAAGTGGAAGAGACGTTCTCCGACTTCTTCGAGAAGTGGGTTTCTCAGCTAGAAGAACTCCTACAGCAACTAGTTCAAGTCTCCAAAACGACGAACAACGACTCGGATCAGTTGCAAGCGCTGGTCGCTAGAGTGACAACCCATGTGAAAGCGTACTACACGGCGAAATGGGCGGCGGCGCACGAGGACGTGCTGGCGTTCTTCTCGCCGGTGTGGCTGAGCCCGCTGGAGAATGCGTACCAATGGGTGACCGGGTGGAAGCCTTCGACCGTTTTCCGCCTGGTGGAGTCACTGAGAAAGAGCGGCAGCGCGACGACGCTGAGGGGCCTGACGGAGCAGCAGGTGAAGACGGTGGAGAAGCTGAGGCTGAAGATAAGGCTGGAGGAGGAAAAAGTGGAGAGAGAAATGGAGAGGCAGCAGGTGGCCATGGCCGACCGGAGGATGGTCGAGCTTGCCAGGCTGGCAAGCAGAGGCGGAGGCGGCGGAGAAGCGGCGGAGGAAGTGCTGGTGGAGGCGGCGCTGAAAGGGATGTTTGTGGGGCTGGAGAGGGTGATGAAGGCGGCGGATTGCGTGAGGCTCAAGACACTCAAAGGAGTGTTGGATGAGCTTAGTCCTTTGCAGTGCGTGGAGTTTTTGGCAGCCACGTGTATGCTTCAGCTTCAGCTTAGGCAGTTGGGGAGGAAGAGAAGTGGTGGTGGTGGCACAAATAATGCTACTACGACTACTGCGTACTACTAATGGACAAAGCAATAGTAATGGGAGTACTACTCATAGACCATCATGATTTTGGTTTTGTTTAAGGTTTTACATAATATATATATATATATATGTATATATTGTGTGTAGAATTAGTAACTGCTTGTGTAGGGA